GTATAGTGTATAAAAACATGGGCGAGTACTCGAAAGCACTTTCATCGTATGAACGATCACTTGAAATCCAAAAAATAGCTCTCCCTCCGAATCATCCCGACTTGGCTGGTTCCTACGAAGGTATCGCTTTGGTGTATGATAACATGGGCGAATACTCGAAAGCACTTTCATCGTACGAACGATCACTTGAAATCAAAAAAATAGCTCTCCCTCCGAATCATCCCTCCTTGGCTGCTTCCTACCTCAACATCGGTTCGGTGTATTATAACATGGGCGAGTACTCGAAAGCACTTTCATCGTACGAACGAGCACTTAAAATCCAAAAAATAGCTCTCCCTCCAAATCATCCCGACTTGGCTGCTTCCTACAACAACATTGGTTCGGTGTATGATAACATGGGCGAGTACTCGAAAGCACTTGCATGTTATGAAAAAGCACTTGGAATGTACCAAAAATCGCTTCCACCTGGACATCCTGATATGGTACGAACACAAAATAACATTGCACTTCTGAGAAAGAAAATGTAATTTTTTTTCTTTTAAAAAGAGAAAATAAATTGGCTATTCATGAACATAAGGCTAGCCGAGGCGCATCACCTACGAAAAATTTCGCGCACGCGCGACCAGGGATATCCTCCGTATTCTGCTGGATTGTACAGTGGACAAAGCCGACAATGATAAGGCAAACATATATTTATGTATGTATAACTAGTACATCCATGATCATCATCATCTTTGGAAAGACAATGACGAGATGGATGCTTCTAGTCATACATACATACATGTATGTTATAAAGGCCTACCATCTACACGCCTGTACAGATTACCAACAGAACGTCGGATATCCCTGGGAAAGTTCATTTTGTTATAGAGCCAGCCTCAAAAGCTCCGTTTGTTTTAAATTTTTTTTTCTTCTGTTACGAAGAACGAGAATAAAGACGACGTTGACGGAATTTTAATACGCAGCGTATAATGACAACCGGTTGTTTTAACGCATGCTATGATATTGAATGCACGATATCTATGTCGTCTTTACACATGTTATGTTTAATTTATTTTTCTTTTCATCTGGAATGTGTAAGAACAAATGAGATGACGTGCACTCAATATCATTCTATAAGAGTGATGACTGAACGAAAGAAGAACACAAAAAAGAATTATCGACTATTCTCTTTGATTAGTAACATATCCATATATAAGAGATAATTGAAAGAAGAAAATGGAAAAGAAATTTTTATAAATTTAATGATTTTTGTTACTTATTACATAACGTTTTAGAAAAGTACTATTTTACGATCATATTGATTGAATATAATATAATAAAACAGAAGTTCAAATAGAACAAGTGCAGTAATTGATTTTTTTTAAATAATAATTTACAGTAAAAATTATTGATCTAATATAAAGATTTGTTGTAGAATAGTTTTTCGTTCATTCATTGATGAAGGTGAATATTCAATCGACGTTGGACTTTTTCCGTCGACTATTCATTCATTTATTATGATTATCAAAAAATGTTTAAACTTATTTATTTAGCTTTAAAATGAATGAATTGAATATAAAATAAACAAAATGGATAAACTAAGTAAATCACTTGAAGTTTTAAAATTATTTTCAACAACAACATGTTATCGAAAGTTCTTTTTGATCTGGAGATAAAGATGAAAATAATTTTAAATCAATTACGACTATTGTAAAAGTATTATAAAAGAAATTCTTTTTTTTTAAATAATTTTGTATGAATTATACAATAGGACTATAAAAGATAATCCTAATGTTGAATAAAAAGCATTCAAAGGTTTGTTTTATTTCAATTTCAATTAGATGTTCTATGGCGATTTGACGAATCAGCAATTGCAATACATTCGAAAAAGATTCAACCATTTTATCAGAATATGATGAACTTATTTTTTATATTCTTGGTTGATCAATTAATGATGAAAAAATTAAAGTAAGTGAAAAAGAAAATCCTTGTCATCTAAGAAACCTCTTCTAAAGAAGTAATCAGAAAAAAGTTATGCGATTGAATAGAAACATAGAAAATGATTGTAGAATAGGTAGTCTCATACTATTCGACGAAATACCGATTGAGAAACTGTTCATCATTTGTAGTAAGAATAATAAAATTTTATTTATCATTAAATATTAATGAGAAATGAAATAAATTAGTCATAGTTGATTCACTGACAATCGTTATAGTTAAGGTATGAAGTCGAGTGAGAATCAATTTTTCTTTTTTTTTTCCTAATATTAATAATAAATTATTTTCAGGAACCTCTCATGTCCTATTCAGTCAATATGTTATCCTATGATTATAGCACGTGTTCTAATGATAAATGTAATTGGTAAGTTTTCTTTCAAACAATTATTTCAATTAATTATAATTTGTCTTTTATTTTAACAGATCAATTATTTGAGCATCATAATCAAAATCATAGTACAAATTTAATAATTGGTTATCTTAAATCAAATATCAAAAAATTTCAATCATCATCAAGAAAAAGTCAACGATCAATAACAAGAACCAGAAATATTGGTACAAATGAACAACATCTTTCAATCAGTATTTGATAAATAATGAATGATTTTATTTTCTATGTAAATCTTTATTTTTTTGATATGTTGATACGATATTTTATATTTGTTTATAACATAAAAGATCATATTGTAATTTGAAATTCATTGGAAACACATGAAATTATATTTCAATTTATTTGATTTTGATCAATTATTAATTTCAATTCAAATTGGATCTATAGAAGTAACTTGTATTAGTCACACATTAAACACAGGTAAATATTGTGAAAAGAGAACAACAAGTTTTTTTTTCTAAAATAATAGATTATTCAACATATCAACGTTGATTTATTGAAATGAATAAACAACACGATATTTTAGTATATAAAATGAATGATGAATTATATTCAAAATCAATGATTAATAATGAAAAACAAACATCAGTTGCTAAACTTGTTAATCAATTATGTTTTCTTTTCGAATTAGACATTTGCTCAATGTGTTAATAATTTGATTATCCTACTGTAAGTATGTTTAATGCTTGTTTGAGACCTTTTTCTTTTTTGTAAAGTTTCAGTTCAGTGAAATAGATTTATTTTTTAATCCAAAATGATTTCCAATGTTGTAACAGTAGGAGGAGTCAGATGAATAGGATAAATCTGATGAAGGAGCTTGTAGCAGAGTTTAGTTAACGTGGCTTCAATTGATTCTGGTCTCAAAGTTTTAGTGAAAGTTATCTGATAGATATGAAGATTTTACTATTGAATTGTTGAAACAAAACGATATGAAATTTTAATCTTTTTGAAACCAACAAAAGACTAGAATATTATCAGACTCGAAAATATATCAAGTAAAACACTTTACTAAATAGGTTAGACATACAAAAGTTTTAGAGTCTCTATATATCAGAGATTGAAATTATACCATCACATAATTACCTCAAAAACAAAGTTCGAAGTTAAAGTACGAATTCTGTACATATCTAGTACGAAAGAGATGTTCAGTTTTTCATTATGATATGAAATCAATTGTATTCGCGAATGAGTTTTTCTTTAATTTTTGAAGATTTCTGATTAAATAAAAATTTTGTAATTGATATGAAATTCTTATCTCTATATGACTTGTAATGCATTAAAATCTATCGAACATCGAGGTAGACGATCTACATTTATGTGATACATATGCAAATTTCTTTCCTTACTACATTAATTAAAAAGAACCATTCATCTTTTAAAGACTATTATCATTATCAAATTCATTTAATAATTCTTTTATTAATGAATATTCATTTGTATCAATTGATTCACAACACAGTTCAATGTTAGATTAGAATATTAAATCGTCTCTTGTTTTTGATAAAAATATTTTTTCTTTTTGTTTTTAAATATATTCAATTAGGTATATTAGCAGAATTACTTTCTAAATTTCGATTATGTCTTTAGGATAATAATACACATGTTGTACATTTACAATCATAGGAATTGAATTATTAGAAGATTCTACTCAATATAGTACAAGTTCTTATATTCTTGCTAAAGTAGACAAATGAAACTTATGATTACAATAAACTGTTTATGTGCATAAAATAGGTTACTCTAGCTCAAATTCTCGAATACTAACTTATCTCGAACAACAACAATAACAGATAAAAAAAAACAGTAAATTAAAACTAATCACATATAGAAGATAAAAACAATATCTTGTTTTTTTTTTGTTTTATTTTTATTTTTAGAATCGATCATGACTTGATCATTGTATTGACATTATCTTTCTATTTCTTATTGATAATGATACAAGTTTTCGTCCAGCAGCTACTTTAACTTTTGCTAAGTATGTCAATTGTAGAGATGTTAGTTAACTAGGTAGTTTTATTTTCGAAGTTGAATAATGCATCAGTCGATTTCATTGTATTAAGTTAGTTACTAGCTACTTTTTGATTTTAATGTTTATTGGTCACAATTCATTTTTTTAGTATATCAATGGTCAATACATTATTTACCTAAATGGATCAATTCTTCCTGTCAATGGATACATAAAATTCATTATTCATTACAACAAACAAATACTTCTGTAATTATATTCAATGATGGAGTGCAATGTGAAACAATATCATGCTTACCAACATTAATATTTGATTGTTTAGCTCAAACATCCACTCGAATATAAATTGTTTGTTATTTTTGTCTTTTATATAAGTTGAATGTTTAGAAGGTATTTATGCTCTTTCAAATGTTTTAGGATTAACAACAATTCGATCATTTTTTTTCATAATCAATATGATGAACTTTGTTAACTTATATATCTATTTATATAAAATGATCTTAATAATTTACAATTATTACTCGATAATAATAATAATT